GGTCGCCCACAGGCTGCCTCGAGGGGCGGTGCCCCCCTGCCAAAGCAAGCGACCCCCCCCCACGGGAACGCCCCCGGGCAGCTGCCTTCGGCCCTTCCTCGCCCGGGCACTCACCGAGGTTCCCGAACGTCCCGGGATTGCCAAGGATGCTGGGGTTCCGGACGATGCCGGGGTTCCGGAGGAACGGAGGGTTGCCGGGGACGCCAGGGTTGGCGGGAATTCTCAGGGCGGGGTTCCCGGGGAAGACGATGCTCTGTGGACGAGAGGAGAGTCACACGCAGGAAAAATTTTACGGGGGTGGGGAGAGGGCTGCAAGCCAGTCCTCATCCCTGTCTGGCTGGGAGTCACAGAGGGGCAGGCAATTGGTCAGCAGAGCCCCAAGTCAGTACCCGCAGACCCCTAGATCCCATACCCGGGGGCCCGGAGCCCCCCATGCGTGCAGCCTGGAACCCTTCGCTCTGGCCAGGGGGCACCAGACAGAGCCGTGTGTGGAAGAAACTGGGGAGACCCTCCCCCGCCCCCGCTGACACAGGGCAAGGATGTGGGGGGAAGGCCTCTGTGCCTACTGTGTGTTGGCCCAGCCCTGGGGAGCCCACGCACCTGCAGGAGGCCTTGGGGGAGTCGTTCAGCTTGAGGGATCTCCTCCAAGGGAGCGTGGGAGGGGAGTGGAGCTCCCCCAGCCAAAGTTCCCTTTCTGGTTTTTTCCAGCCGTGCGTTGAATAAATTTTGTTTGGTGCGCCGCAGCATGTGCAGATGTGCACCACCAATCAAAACATACGCTGCAGGCGCTGTGCTTATCAGCTGGGTGGGGGGGGGGGGAGCGCGGGGGGGATATGAGGACCCACAAGGGCGTGCTCCCCCTCCCAGTGCCTGCACGGGTGCTCTGAGCCTCCTGCAGCTCTCCAGCTGGGCCTTCATGTCCTCAGCCTGGGCCAGCACCTTGCTCCACTCCTGCAGCTGCTGGCTCAGGCGCCCCTTCTCCTCCGCCAGCGCCTGCTTCTCCTGGAAGCTGCGCTTGACCTCAGCGGGGCAGGAGGTCTGCAGGGCTTGCAGCTGCTGCCGGAGGCCCTGGATCTCCATGTTGCTCTGCTGCCTGGAATCCTGCAGCTTCATATCGCAGCTCATCTTCTCGCCGTGCAGCCGGGTGCGGGCCTGCGTCTCGTCCTTCATCTCCCGCTGCAGCGTGTCCCCCAGCGACTGCAGCTTGGTGTTCACCAGCTGGGGCAGGGTGGCGCAGTCGCTGGGCTGGTAGCTCGCCATTGTCTTGTCCAAGCTGGCCTGGATGCCCTTCCGGGCGGCCTCGATCTCAGCTGTCACCTTCATGCCCAGGTTGCAGCATTCCCTCTGGACCTCCCCTGGGCCTCCTCTTCCAGCTCCCCCCTCCCCTGCATCCAACCTCCCCTGGGCCTCCTCTTCCAGCTCCCCCCTCCCCTGCATCCAACCTCCCCTGGGCCTCCTCTTCCAGCTCCCCCCTCCCCTGCATCCAACCTCCCCTGGGCCTCCTCTTCCAGCTCCCCCCTCCCCTGCATCCAACCTCCCCTGGGCCTCCTCTTCCAGCTCCCCCCTCCCCTGCATCCAACCTCCCCTGGGCCTCCTCTTCCAGCTCCCCCCTCCCCTGCATCCAACCTCCCCTGGGCCTCCTCTTCCAGCTCCCCCCTCCCCTGCATCCAACCTCCCCTGGGCCTCCTCTTCCAGCTCCCCCCTCCCCTGCATCCAACCTCCCCTGGGCCTCCTCTTCCAGCTCCCCCCTCCCCTGCATCCAACCTCCCCTGGGCCTCCTCTTCCAGCTCCCCCCTCCCCTGCATCCAACCTCCCCTGGGCCTCCTCTTCCAGCTCCCCCCTCCCCTGCATCCAACCTCCCCTGGGCCTCCTCTTCCAGCTCCCCCCTCCCCTGCATCCAACCTCCCCTGGGCCTCCTCTTCCAGCTCCCCCCTCCCCTGCATCCAACCTCCCCTGGGCCTCCTCTTCCAGCTCCCCCCTCCCCTGCATCCAACCTCCCCTGGGCCTCCTCTTCCAGCTCCCCCCTCCCCTGCATCCAACCTCCCCTGGGCCTCCTCTTCCAGCTCCCCCCTCCCCTGCATCCAACCTCCCCTGGGCCTCCTCTTCCAGCTCCCCCCTCCCCTGCATCCAACCTCCCCTGGGCCTCCTCTTCCAGCTCCCCCCTCCCCTGCATCCAACCTCCCCTGGGCCTCCTCTTCCAGCTCCCCCCTCCCCTGCATCCAACCTCCCCTGGGCCTCCTCTTCCAGCTCCCCCCTCCCCTGCATCCAACCTCCCCTGGGCCTCCTCTTCCAGCTCCCCCCTCCCCTGCATCCAACCTCCCCTGGGCCTCCTCTTCCAGCTCCCCCCTCCCCTGCATCCAACCTCCCCTGGGCCTCCTCTTCCAGCTCCCCCCTCCCCTGCATCCAACCTCCCCTGGGCCTCCTCTTCCAGCTCCCCCCTCCCCTGCATCCAACCTCCCCTGGGCCTCCTCTTCCAGCTCCCCCCTCCCCTGCATCCAACCTCCCCTGGGCCTCCTCTTCCAGCTCCCCCCTCCCCTGCATCCAACCTCCCCTGGGCCTCCTCTTCCAGCTCCCCCCTCCCCTGCACCCAACCCCCTGGGCCTCCACTTCCAGCTCCCCTATGCCTTGCACCCCCATCCCCCTGGGCACAGCAAGAGGAACGATCAGTTCCACTCATACGAAATGGGAAGCGACTGTCCAGGAGGGAGTCCTGCAGAAAGGGGTCTGGAGTCCTAGGGGACCACGAGCTAAAGAGGAGTCAACAGTGTCACACGGTTGCAAACCAAACAAAAAAACCCTGGTTCTGGGCTGCATGAACAGGAGGGTGGTGAGCAAGAGCCGGGAAGTCCTTCTGCCGCTCTGCCCTGCGCTGCTGGGGCCTCGGCTGGAGTGTTGTGTCCAGTTCTGGGCCCCACATTTCAGGAACGAGGGGGAGAAATTGAAGAAGGTCCAGAGAAGAGCAACCAAGATGATGAAAGGTCTAGAAGACATGGCCAAAGAGGGAAGATTGAAAAAACTGGGGTTAGTTAGTTTAGAAAAGAGAAAATGGAGAGGGGACACGATAGCGGTTTTCAAGTATCGAAAAGAGTGTTCCACGGGTTTTGCCCATAAAGAGCCCTGTGTAGACGGGTTCGTTTGTCGGGAAAACCCCTTTTTCGCAAGCTCCTGTAAACCTCGATTTTCAAGGACTAAGGGACGTCGTGTTCCATGATTCTACCTCTGCCCTGCACGTCCATCCCTTGCACCCTTTGCACCCCGCTCCCCAGCTGGAGCCAGCCTTGCGGGGTGGGGGGGGATGGAGAGAGAGGGGGAGGAGGAGGCGGAGTTTTCTGGGGAGGAGCAGCCAATCACAGCTGCTGCAGGAAGTAGGCAGAGCCTTCCCTCCTCCCTCCCAAAAACCCAGAGGGGTTCTTGGTTGGGGGGGAGGAGCAGCCAGCACCATTCTACAGGAGG